TAGAGAAGGCCAATGCTGTTATTTGATTCCTGAAATCTGCTGCTTCTGAAAGAAATGAAATGCTCTTAGTTGAACGATAGCTTACTAAAAAAACTATAAAATGTCCGCAATGGCATCCTCATGCATTCAATTTCACGTCGAAAAGATAATTGTACAAATAGTTGTGGCACTTTACACATCCAAATGAAAATGAGAAAGACGTTCCAATTACTTATCACATAAGGCCGGCAGTTATCGCTAAAATTCGGGAGCTTAACACTGTAAACTCACTTCTTTTTCAGAAGCAATATCATGCTTGGATTCTAACTCTCTTATCCTTGCATCGTAAAGCTCCTTTTGCCTTCTGAGATATGCTATGCCTACAGCTGAGCGAGAAACAATGTTTTCGCAATGGTTTCCGGGATGATGGCATGGCTCGTCCCAAGTACCATGGAAGTGACCAAATGGATTACTACCAGGAACACGATCCTGAGCCTCGGCCAAATGACCCCGATCATTTGCTATGATTCTTGTTGGCACCTTTTTCCGCTTGGGATGCTGTAGACAAGTGAAATTAGGCATCAAAAATTTGTCGTCATCCCGTTAATGCAATTCCATTGGTTTAATGGATTATATGTTTTCGAAAAATAAAACAACTAAACATGGACAAGCATATCAAGGTAGAAACTGAGACATACGCTATCAAGAATTCGTGAATCACGTGACCCAACATTGGATACACTATTGACAATAAATTAATCGGGTGAAAATACAAAATAAGCCATAAACTCACGTCTGGCAGCTTCTTAGTCGGCCCATAATAACTATTTTGCTTAGGCGTGAAACCATCCTCAAACTAAGCAACCAAATAATGTGCAATTGGCTTTGATACCTGCTCCGCACAATAATTCTTCGACATGTAAAATGAGATGCTGTACAAAGTATTTCTAGTTATTTCAATTGGATCATTTGTTGTCACTAACACAAGAAAATTAAATTTATCAGTATAAACAACTTCCGGTCACAAAAATTTGCATCGCAACAAAAAGACAGATTTCTTGCAGTAGTTTTTGACTCAAAGGCTTCTGATCTTATTGTCATCATAAATGTTAGTAAAATACCTCCATCATGTGTCTACCTACCTAGCCTTCGAGTCAGGCTAGAGCCCCGCTTTCCGGATTAATGCGTGTAACGCTTTGCTTATGCGACCAGATTCACCTGATCCTCGTGTGTTCGGGCTGACTTTAGAGCTAATCGCAGCAGCAGTGGCAATCCTGGAATGCATGCGTCCAGCTTCACTTAATGTCTTCTACCCTGTTAGAAGACTTGGGACGCTAATATGGTGGCAACGGAAAGAGGACTTAATTTTTCAACAACTTCTGCTCTGATATCCATCGCTCGTGGCCTAACCCTACGATGTGTAGGGGGCTCACTTATATCGGAGTCTGGATAATCTCTGAATTCTTCGCGGCAGAAGGGTCGATAACACTACAATCCGAGTTTGGACATTGACTTCGTGTTCCACAGCCGAGCTATCAACAACTGGAGCGTGAACCATCTATAAAATTTCGTGTTAGTATTTAAATCCTACTACATCCGTGTATAGGCGTCTAAAACGGCAATAAAATGTCC